TGCAGTTGCACCTTCATGGTGAACCTTTGCATCAAAAAGTGTTATACTGACTATATGATCCGTCCAGGGTTACAGTGATTCACAACAAGTCCAAAAGTCAGGCCCTTTGTTGACACAGGTCTGTGTAGGCTAAAATACCGAGATTTACTGTAGAATTATGTCACTAGCTTGTAAGACAATTGTCAAAAATGAGAAAATTATGTCTCCTAACATCCTCTATAAATAGAATGTGTAGATAAATTGAAATACATAACACAAGCAACAGAGAGAAAAGCATGATGAGTGAGAAGCAATTATGCTTCAGTTTGTGCAGAGAGTTAATGAGAGAAAATTGAGAGTTTGCCCATGCGTAGGCAAATAAAATACAGTGTACTTTTTTGTATTCCACTTCTTTTCACTGATATAGTGAAAAATTAGTGTGGATTTGTAGATGTAGGCATGATTGTTGAACCACGTAAATTTTTGTGTCGTACTTGCACTTATTTTATGAAGGCGATAAAGGAATTCAAGTGAAAATGTTAAAAACACGAAATTTCGAACCCACCAAATTATGAAAAAAATAAACTCACGAATTTTATTAATTGAAAGATGATAAAAAAAAAAAATGAATTAATCATTTATTTATAAGGGTTTATATGAAAATATAGTTTAAACAAATTAAAATTGCAAAGAATTCGAAATAAACTAAATGACAAAAATAGCACTAAAATTTAAAAAACAATTTTTGAGTCATAAACGAACTTGAATGGCTGAAATCTATCGTATGTCATGGCATAGCGATGAGTTCTACTCGTCTCATCGTTCTCTTTCCCAAATAGTATTATCGGCTCAAATTGGAGCTCGACTACCATATCTGCACCTTTGCCAATTTTATTTTTCGGTCTAATTATTTTTCAATACATTCAGTCATTTGTCAAAAAGGAGAACATTATGCCTCCTGATATCCTCTATAAATAGAATGTGTAGATTGAAATTGAAATGCACAACACAAGAAACAGAGAGCAAGGCAAGACGAGCGAGAAGTAGTTAGGCTTGTGCAGAGAGTTAACGAGAGAAAATTGAGAGATTGCCTCTGTGTAGACAAATAAAATACAGAGAGTATTTTTTGTATTCCTCCTTTTGTTGATATAGTGAAAAATTAGTATGAGCTTGTGGACGTAAGCACAATTATCGAACCACATAAATTATTGTGTCGTATTTGCACTTAATTTATTTCTTTTTAGTTCAAATTATTTTGCATTCCACTTGTATGAAGAAATTAGTAACGTTTATCCAGTGAGGGTCACTTGCCTTGTTAATAGCAAAACGAGTCCGTCAGTCCCTTGGCTACGAAGTAAAAAAAATAAAATAATAAAATAAAATGATACCAATGTCTAAAGATACAATACATACAGGACAAATTTTGTGTTTCCAAGATCCAAGTCTAAAGATACCAATGTACGCTATCCAACAAGATTTAAAGATACCTAATGACAGTCCATTTGCCTCTGTAAGCGCTTCAATCACAATTCATATTGTTCCCCTTTATAGCTTGCAGGGACTACCAAAACTTGCTCTATCAAAAGTTAAGATCATTGAAATGAGACACCAAGAATCAGCACAAGAACTCCCGCCACATATTCTCATCTTCCCTTACCCCTTGCAGGGCCATGTGAACTCTATGCTCAAGCTTGCTGAGCTCCTCTGCCTCTACAACCTCCATGTTACCATGCTCCTCTCTGATTTCACTCATGGCCGCCTCCTCCTCCACGCCAACGCCCAGTCTCACTTCGCCCGCTACCCTGGCTTTCGCTTTGTAACCATTCCTGATGGCCTCCCGGAAGACCACCCCCGTGCTGGCGATCGCATCTTGGAGATTCTGTTGAGTCTAAAAGAAACTGGGGGACCAGAGTTCCGTAGGCTGATGGAGTCCACCGATTGCCTGAGTGATGCCGGTGCTCGAAGGCCGGTCACCTGTGTCATCATGGATGGGGTCTTGAGTTTTGCTATTCCTTTGCTTGAAGAAAAGGGAATTCCGTACATTTATTTCAGGACTATTTCAGCGTGCTCCTTCTGGGCATATTTTTGCATTCAAGAAATTATTGATGCAGGCGAGGTCCCTCTAAAAGGTATTATACTATTCCAAGTAAACATGTGGATGGTATGTGAAAAGTGGTTTGTTGGATTGTCCTGCTGATGTATTTCGAATTTTATTTCTGTCTTTGTGTAGGGAAGGATGAAGATAAATTGACATATTGGAAAAAAGAAGAGATGGATTCAATGGTAAAAAGTGTGCCGGGAATGGAGGGGATTCTCCGGCGCCGTGACCTTCCAGGGTTTTGCAGAGTGAACGATGTTAATGATCCGGGCTTCCAGTCTATCAAAATAGAGACTAGAAAAAGCATTAAAGCTAGAGCACTCATACTTAACACATTTGAAGATTTGGAAGGACCAGTTCTTGATCAAATACGGAAACATATACCAAATTTGTATTCCATCGGTCCACTCCATGCTCATTTGAAGGCCCGGTTCGCAGCTAAAACAAGCAAACCCTCGCGTGCTTCGGGCAGTTTCTGGGAGGAAGACCTCAGCTGTGTGACTTGGCTCGATTCCCAGCCAACAAAATCTGTAATTTATGTGAGTTTTGGAAGTGTTACCCTGTTAACTCAAAACGAACTATTAGAGTTCTGGTACGGGCTAGTTAATAGTGGCCAGAGGTTCTTGTGGGTAATGAGGCCAGATTCCATTATTGGAAACGATGGGGAGAGGCAGATTCCGGTGGAGCTAGAGGAAGGTACAAAGGCGAGAGGGTACCTGGTGGGATGGGCACCTCAAGAGGAGGTCTTGACCCATCCGGCGGTTTGTGCATTTTTCACACATAGTGGATGGAATTCGACTCTGGAGAGTATAACGGTGAAAATGCCTATGATTTGCTGGCCTTACTATGCAGATCAGGCGATAAATAGTAGGTTTGTTAGTGAGGTTTGGAAGCTTGGATTAGATATGAAAGACACTTGTGATCGAATGATAGTAGAGAAGATGGTTAGGGATATAATGGTGGTGAGAAGGGAGGAATTCTTGCAGGCGACTGATCACATGGCTAATTTGGCAAGAAAGGCTATCAGTGAAGGTGGTTCATCATACAGTAATTTGGACAGATTGATTGAGTTTTTAAGGGCCATGATATTATGAGCATCATTTGAATCTTTTTTGCATATAATTTGAAGATATTCAGCCGTAAAAGGTTGGAATTTTGCATTAGGTTTATTTTGAAGGGAAGAGAATTCCGGTTACACTTGCTAATTGTTAGATGCTAGCATTGATACATGGCTGGTATTGTATGATTGTAAAATTGGAGTCCATCTTATTATTGAGTAATATGTATTATAATGAACCATCATATCTCATTTCGCAATGATGTCGGCATTGTTGCAAGAAAGCTGCTTTGTTTGATGAGGCGTATTGTAATATAATATTGCATACTAAACACGTCTAGCATATTTTGTGACATAAAATCAGTCTAAAAAGGATAACTGGCAAGATAATGTTGAGACGGATAGTATATTGTAGGGGTCGGACAAAACTAGCAAGATATATTGTGGTGGTTGTATAGTTTTGAATCTACTATAAATTTGCATTGAAATGATGTGATGAAAACAAATGCACGCACTAATTCCTAAATTTAAGAAAGACTTAATTTGTTGTGATGTATTTGAGTTTGGATGTCATAGACTTGCAACTATTCCATCCAACGTTGTGAAGAAAAGAGTTGTATTAGTACCAATTAAAGCTTGCAGGGAGTATCAAAATTTGCTCAATCAATTCAAGAATTAGCACAAGAACTGTCAAGAATGTAAGACAAACAGAATAATTTTATTTCTATCACTTGTAATTGACCGTTTGAAAACTCGCAAGTGAACATG